CTTTTCCTGGTATTAAATTTTTTTTTCAGCTCAGATTATGCCCTCTGAAAAGTGATTAAAGCTAAATCAAAAATAATTTTTCACTCCAGAGGAAGAATATCTACATAGGAAATTAGAAAGAAAAAAACAGTAGTTCAATTAATGATAGCAGGGAATCCTCCTTTAGTTCTCCTGCAGATAGACCACTGGCAGAAGCTAGGCCTATGAAAAAGGTAAAGCTCAGTATCTTGCAATTAAATTCACAGCAAAAGAAAAAGTGTAGAGTTACTTACTACCAGAATCACTTAGCAAAATGTAAGTCAAAGAAAGAAGCAGTGTTTTGGTAAAAACTCGGGCTCTTATATGCAGGAAGAAAAACCAACCTTCAACTGAAAATTATAGTTAATTACTTTATACACAGCATGTATAATATCAGAATTTTAAAACCAACAATACCAAAGAATACTATCCCATTTTCATGTGGACTAACATTTGCAGAAAATCTCAAAACGGTCTCATAAACTCCACCAGGGAGCAACATTACAGACACACACGTGCATGCTAATAACTTAATGTACTGGGGTTTATTTGGGGTGGAGTTTTTTGAATTAGAATGAAAATAGCCAGACTTAGTTTTAGTGCAGAGAGATATTTTTTTTATAACTGCACCAGATGAAACTATATACTCTGACCCTATACTCGTTAAGGAACCTTTAGCAAGTAATAAATTACTAACAGAAAGACTACAATTGCTTTAATCATTAGGACTGGAGTTAAGAAGTGGTCCAACAGTACAACCAACAATTTAAACTTCTGCGCATGAGGAAAGCACTCTAATGCTAGCTACCGAGAGCCTGTAATAAATGTGGGCTGAAAAGACCATACATTTCAACAGTCTGGGAAGGGATGCAGCCAGCCTCCAGCACAAACCACTGGGCACTCATTCCCATGTGGTAAGAGCTACCATGCTGCAGAGCTGCGAGCAAATCGCCAGAAATATGTGGAGCATGGGTAACCAAGCCTTGTGGGATCCACAAGAGCAACTCACTCTTCCCCAGGAAGCCGGCATGCTGGAAAGCACCACGCAAAGATATTCAAGTGGCCCTGGATGGAGTGAGAGGAGCATATTAATGCTGCCTCGGCACCCTTTCCACTAGCAGGGGCAGCAGTCAGAGTGAAAAGAAAATTATGGCAGCCTTGGGGAAGGAATAAAAAGGAAAAGGTAACTGCCGTGCAATAACAACTCCAAAAGGGCTGGAGATGAGGAAGTGAAGCAAATGAGGTGCTCAACACTATATTTTCTCAAGTGATTCCTGCTTTTTATTAAAAAAATTGCTGCTCAGAGAAAGGACTGAATGTGAACAGGTAGGAAATCAGTCAATGGAGGCTGTGATCTCAGCAACAGTACGGACACTTGTTTCTCAATCAGTTCACTTCCTCAGTCTGACTGGTGCACACTGTGACCACACATGCGCTTGTGCCAGTCCAGTACCAAGGTGCCAGGACGGCGGGACTGAACGGCTGGGGCCTGGGACAGGGGCTGCGTACGCCCAGCAGTGCCACCAAATATATTCACTTCAAATCATATCCTCAGTGTCAATAATTTGCTGTAGGGGGTATGGCTTAGTCATTACAAGTGCCATAGACTCTTGAATGTGAAGGCTTAGTATCTGTTTGAACAATCCTTGTGAAAAAGTTTGATCTAACCATCTTAGTGTTTATTGTTAATGGAGATCTTAAGAATGTCATGCTGTGTGGATTTTACCTTAAATCAGTCTGGATATTACCTCCACAAAATGCCTTTCATACTATGTCAAAAGAATAGGTGTGGGGTTTTTTTAACTAGGTGTGGGGTTTTTTTAACAGAATAGTATCCAGGTGGGTGGAAGACAAAAATGTGACATTCTAATTATATACTTCATGAAATTATGACATTTTGAAAGCTAGAAAATTACTTTGTTTCACAAACAAATTACATAAAAATCATTCTAACTTGATTTGATAGTTATTATTGACTACTGGATTACTGAGTGTAAGCAAATAACTGTAGTTTAAAGAATCAACCTTTTTAAACTGTGACATTTTTCCTGAAATGCCCTTAACTTTTTAGATGCAGTGAGGATTCAGTGTTTCTCTTCTTAACAAGATCTTGTTTCACTGAACAATTTTTAGTCTACTATCGAGTGATCCCATAAAGCAGGGCAGAACTAATGGCTTTATTAAGTACCTTTACTTCAGGCTAAATGGAAGGAGCAATTACATCCCACTTATACAGCAAAACAGCTAGAACCAGAAGAAGCTACCTCACAGTGCAACATTAAATATAAAAACCCTATTCAGAAGCTTGACAGGTTCACCAACTCAAAACAGAGGGCTAGGGAAATGTCTGTTCAGCTATGTCAGAAAGGGAGGCAGTAATCCAGGAGGGAGGTAGTTCTAAAGAAGCATCCACAAATAGGGCACCAAAACCAGACAGGCAAATTTTCTGAACAGGCCTACTTCAAGATATTTAGCCTCACAGTTGGGTGTTCTTCCATGGAGCTAAAGGAAACAGGACACTCTATAATCTTTCTATGTCAAGAGAAGGGCACAAGAGACACACTTGAGCTGGTCAGTCTGTCTCTCTAACATAACAAACATGCAAGGCTTGAAATACTGAAGTATTGGTCACTACTTGGTCTGACAAAAAGGGCAACAAGACAAACAAGGTAAATTGTAAAAGTTGAAATACACCTTATTTCTGCTTCAAACATTTTTTTCAGTTGGAACAGGGCTGCAATACATGTTCTAAATTCTGTATACTGCTTTCTCCTACCTAGTAACAGTTATGAGTAACTATTTTCAGTTCAAATGAATAGTGTTTGAAATACAGTTTCTATAACACATTCTTCCTTATGGGACTTTGCAATCCACTATCAAAAAAAAAAAAAAAAAAAAAAAAAAAAGAAAGAGCAGGGTTTGACACTTCTATGCCTTGGTGACAAGTTGGGACTTTTCATGAGCAGAATTGCCAAAGAATTGGAGATGAGATAGTAATGAGAAACTCCAGCACGTGAGGAGGAATGTGGTTAGGTCTGCCTGAAAACTCAGAATTGAGGACTATATAATCATCAGAAAGAAATGATTGTGCATCTTTTACTATTTGAGCAACACTACTTATCTTTCCTATTTACTACTTTTTCCTTTTTTGCCATACTATTCTGGGCATTTCCAGACCAAGGTCAGCAGTTTCCCTTGTCCATCATGAGCCCATATATCTTCTTCGCTGTTACAGGATCTGTAAGTCAGTTGGAGCTTTGCAATGGAACTGCTTAGAGCCATGTTGCTACCAGAGTATATCAAAAACACTTAAAAACTTCTAAACTCTAAAGCTCTGTTTCATTACAGCCCCAACTGAAACAATGTGGCTTTAGAAAAAGAGGAACTAAGAGTGACACGGATTATAATAAAAGGGTATGTATAGCTGTTTCCTCTCCCACTGTATGCTTACAGAGCAAGCTGTAAATCCTTATTCTTAGTAACACAATTTTTAGTGTCCTTCTGGGCAACAAGAAAACCTACATATTCTCGGTCCCAAAGAATAGCCTCTCTTTCTGTCCTTTCTGAGAGCATGCCCATTCCTAACTCCACTCATGAGACTCACTGTCCCTACATTTAATACTATGAATTCCCAGCTTGCTGTCTCTCAGTTCTCTCCTATCACCACTTCACACTATGAAAGCTTTTTCATCTGGGCTTGCCCATTTGCTCTTGGAGCTGAGGTAACTGCTCAATCAATCCCACAGGCTCCATCTGGCCTTGAGTGAAAAGAAGAAAGCAAAATGTCAGTCTTCAGTCCCTAAATCCAGCTACTGCCCTTTTAAAAATGTTGTGTCAGCAATATTGCAAATAGACAAGATAGCATCCATTACCTTTGCCTTTAGTTCTTCTAGTGTATCCCATCCTCTGGAAGGAAATGTATCATCCTACTGCTTCCATACACAGAAGGTGGTAACTCCTTCCAAAATTGCTATGTCAGTCTGAAGTGATGAAGTAAAATAAATTTTCTCTCACAGGGGATGAGTTAAGCAAATCTTTTAAACGTAAATATGGATTGAACTTATCTGCCTGCCCCATAAAGCTCGTGTGTTTGCTGTAAACTGTTGATATCAATAGATTAATGATAAATATGCGTGTCTGACAAGAAAATATGGTAACTAAATTCATGGTCTTGTCCATCTGTTCCTCTGCTGTTTCTGTATCTCCATATCATCGTATGCTTGTTTCAGCTGCTTGTCCCATGTATGTGTATATATATATCTATATGTATATATATACACCAGGATTGTACGATGGTTTGGTTTGCACTCATGTTCTTTTCTCCTTAAGTTCTCTGCAGAAGTCTGTGAGTGCGTGCTAGCAAATACAGACCGTGTACATTCACCGATCTGAACCAACTTCTCTTCCTGCTCGAGTGCTGTGCATGCATCGCGTTGGTGTCCGCCCGAGCACGCAGGAAGCTCTCACGCCCTTACAGATACACCTGCTTACAGCTACCTGTGCTAACTCTGCACAATCTCCAACGCACACCAGTGCATCCCAACGCTCCCGTAAGTGTGTAAGGCCGAGCCTACGTGGCTTCAGCTCCACCTTGGCGAGCGGCTCCCGCTCCCCTGAGGTACGCTGTGGTGCACACCACACCTCCTCCCGCTCAGGCAAACGCGGGGCACAGCGAGCGCCCCAGACCTGGCGGCAAATCCCGACGAGCCTGGACGGTTCTCCCAGACCTGCAGCCGCGGGAACCAACGTTGTCCCCCGGGCGCGGAAGCTGCCCCTCGGGAAAAGGCGGCAGCCAGCGGCCTCCCCTCCCGGTGGCTGCCGGCGGAGGCGCTGCGAGGCCGGCAGGCCCTCCGCTTGCCCCGTCGCCAACGGCAACCATCCCGAGCCGGCGGCGCTCGGCGCTCGATTGCGGTGGCTGGACTCCCGCCCGCTCTCTCTCCGGCTGGGCGGGCGGGCGCGTTGTGAGGGGAAGGGAGCCACCACCCTTCCTCTCGGCGCTGGATTGGTTGCGCCTACTAGAAACCCAGTGTTGTTGTCGGAGGCAAAATGGCGGCGGCGGTGGCCGGGGCCGCCCTGCTGGGCAAGGGGCTGGACATCAGCCTGGCGGCGCTGCAGCAGCACGACCCCTACATCAGCAGCATCGTGGACGTGGCCAGCCAGGTGGCGCTCTACACCTTCGGGCACCGCGCCAACGAGTGGGTACGTGCGGCCGCCCCGCCCCGCCCCCTCCGCCGGGGCGGTGGCGGGGGGGGCGGGGCGAGGGGAGACCACGCCCACGCCCGTGCGGAGGGGGCGGGCGGCGAGGAGGCCCCGCCCCTCCCGCTGAGGCGCGGGGGGGGTGGCTGGGGCGGGGAGCACCGCCATGGCTGAGGTGTGAGGGCGGGTGTCCTGCGGTGCTCGCTGTGCTTGTCTGGTCAGGCGAGGGGTTGTGCGTGGCTCGGCCTCTCTGGGGGCTGTGAGCAGCCTCAGCGGTGCCCAGGAAGTGGGTGTTGAAAGGCTGACAGGGCTGTGAAAGTTTTGTCCCCGGGGGGGGGGGTGGGGGTGGGGCAGGGCTGTAGGGGGCAGGGGTTGAAAGCAGGGCCTCTGTCATCCAAACATCTGGAGCGGCACCAAAATGCATGCAAAAGAGTGTTGGAGCTACGAGTATGAAAAAGACTCAAAAAGAAAAATAACTTGGGGAATCATGGGGTAATTTAGCATTCTGGCTATTTGCAAGCGGTTCTTGGTTTGCTGTACAGGTGAGGCTGAGGGCCCGTGTTTGAAAAACCTGCGCTGTTTGCCTTTTGTGTGGTTTCCCCCTTACCCATCCTGAGCGTGGCCCCTGAGGGCGGGTGCCGTTCCCCTCCCTGACTCTGGCCTGCATGTCACCCTTGGGTGTAGTGGAGAGTTAATCTAGCACGGTGTTCAGTCTCATGATGTCAAGCTTTCAGCCTTTTCATATCTCGTCATAAAACTTCCATTGGCTGCACGATGACCTGTGCTACCTGTAGTCTCGCCACCAGCCGGTGAAGTTGGGTTTACTTATTTTTTCATGGCTTAGGTGAGAGAGGTCTAACTCATGGTATTGGTAAAGCAGGGATAAAGGGAGGCTCACGGATAGCTAGCAAAATGCTGCCCTGATTTCAACTTTCTTAACTTTCCTTTTCTTCAGGAGAAGACTGATGTGGAGGGAACACTGTTTGTTTACACAAGGTGAGGATGTCACACTTTAATGTCTGCAGGTGAAACCTGTGGATGTGGAAAAGCTAGCTGGGATGGAGCAGGGGTGAATGAAGTAAAGTGCTCCTTCTTGCTCAAGGGTGAAAAGAAACTGAAATTGGCAGAGGCAAATGCAGGAAAGAAAACACTGGGAAGGAGACATCACCTTATATTTAGATAAGACTTCCAAATGGGATTTTAATCTGAATATGGGTAAACCTTAGAAAACTGTTATGTTGTTTTAAATAGGATGTAGCATTTGCAGTTTTAAAGGTGTCTGAACAAAAAAGAAGTAGTGAAATAAATACTGTTATTATTTAAAGTAAGGGAATCATAGAACTTACAAAGTATTGTGTTCCCTACTTAAGGAACTTTCATAATACTTGTGTCTGATTACTCATTTTTCATACCTATTTTATGCAACACTTTAGATAGTCTTAATACTTTCTTTTAGCAGCAGCTCTGGTTGTAGCTCTTCAAAGCATCGATTACATCATTTATTCTAGCATGTAACATAGATCTGTTGTGAAGCCTGCCCTACATTTGGGTTTCCAAGTTAGTGCCCCAGCATTTCCATGCGACTTGTTAAAATCAGAAAATAATACAGTAAGCAGATCTTGCAGTTGCTGCTGGGATGGGACACCAAAGCAGAAACTTTCTTCAACATTTATGTTAATGAGGGCTGACAAATCCAGAGATTGTTTTGAGAAAGTGGGAGATGTATCTGTGAAGTGACAGGGAGGTCCAAGAGACTCTGAGCTTTGTGTGAAGTGAGAATGCTGGTTTTAATCTTTTGAGCTCTTTTATACCAGCAGTGGAAATAGTCATCAGTAATTTTTCTAAGCTGTTTTCAGGTAAGTGGAGATAAGGTGGTGTTATAATTACCACCACAAGAAGAAAGAACTGGTCTTTAGTTGTGCTAGCAATAGGTGGAAGTGGCTAGTTGTGTACTGCTAAACAGGAAGTAGTATTTCTCTGGTATGTTGGTTTTAGAACTCCAGAACTGACAACATGTAACCTGGCACTTGTAGCATCTGTGATCCTTAACTATTCTTTTTGTTGGCTGAGGAATTTTCCATTTACAGCAGAGATTGCTACCCTGGCTGCCCTATAGGCAACAGTATGGAACAGGTTGTGAGCTGTGAGTAATATCATACATTGCCCTCCCCATTCAGTTTTAACTTCAATTTCCTGTGGTTTTGAACAAAGTCATGAAGTCTTGTGGAAAAAAACATTGCCAACAGACTGTAGGTTGGAGACCACTGGTGTTGCCTTTGTTGCTTCTCATTACTGTTGTGACAATGTAATGTGACCATTTTACTTGAGATGACTTATCACCTATCTCATCTTTGCAAATTCTGAGGAACAGTCAAAAAATCAGGCTTCCAACTGAGTTAACACCAGTGGAAGTGGACTGGTTTTTTGTTTGCTTAAAGTGAAGTACTGACTATTGCAAACAAGGATTCTTGTTAAGAGGTTCACTTTTGTTTCATTTTTTGTTGACTCTAGTTCTGCAACACAGGTTCCTGTGAATTGGATTTCATAGGGAAAACCACCTACCAGCCATTACCATAGATGGTACTTTTCCCAAATATTTAGCCATCATCTTTTCCTTTATTGTCATTCTTGGTTTGAAAGTTTCTCCTGTCAGTATCGTGATAGGTTTAACAGCTCAGATTAATAAAAACTATCTAAGTGACTTGAAGTGTAAGTCCCATGAATGAGCATAGTGATTTAGAGTAACAGAATCATAAACTAGTTTGGCTTGGAAGGGACCTTTTAAGATCATCTAGTCTATCCCCCCTGCCATGGTAAAGGACATCTTTCACTAGATCTGGTTGCTCAAACCTGACCTTGAATAATTCCAATGATGAGTCATCCACAGATGCTCTGGGCAACCTGTTCCAAGCTTAGATTTTTGTAGTATCTCTTAGAAATAAAAAAAAAAAAACAAACACAAAACCAAAACAAAAACAACAACAACAAAAAAACACAAACAAAAAACAAACAAAAAACCCCAAAACAACAACAAACAAACAAACAAAAAACAATTTTGGAGAAGTATACAACAAAGAAATTCTAGTAGTTTCTTTTTTTCCTTAACTTGATGTGATTTCTACTTGATAATTTTCAGATCAGCTTCTCCAAGACATGGCTTCACAATTATGAACAGACTGAGCATGGAAAATCGAACAGAACCTATTACTAAAGACCTCGATTTCCAGCTGCAGGACCCTTTTTTACTGTACAGAAATGCCAGATGTAAGTATGTGATATGTTGGGTTAAATACCAGAGAAGTCAGCTCCTATTCAGAGTCTGTTCTTCGTTAAGGCAGAGTGCAGCTTTCAAGGGCTGAAACTAGCTGATTAACAGTTACAATTGAAGGAATATGTTTTGCTTTTTGACATGCTGAAAGAGAAGAGTTGCTCAGTGCTTCCTAAAATGCTACTCTTCTAAAGAAAGTATTAGAATGTGCTTAACAGGAATCTCTTCATTTAACTGATAATTGGTAGACTTTTATGGTCGTGTGTATGTGATGGGCATAGAGACTCAGAGGAATATTGTGTGTGTTCTGAATATAACCCAGTCAGTGTTGGGAAGTCTCACCATAAAGCAGATCTACTGAGGGTTAGAATAGTATTTGTAGTCTTGGTTTTCTGTATAAAAATAGACACATGCAGCCAATTCAAACCCTGTCTTCTGCTCCAGCTCCAAAATACTGTCCTTATAGCAAGTTGGAAGGTGGGTTACTTCTCAACTCCTAGGGGTAACTCTTAACAGCATAGTGTTGAGCCTAATTTAATCCCTGATGAAAGGCAAAGTTATTACTTTGGGCTCTGTGTTTATATTGCATGATTATCTTTATACAAGAATTAGCAAGTGTCAGGCAAACTCAGAAATAAGTGGAAGACAGGAGAAAGCTGTATTTTTACATGTAGATGTACATACAGACTGTTCCAATGTGTGTGTACAATAATATGAGAATGAGCAGTTATAAATATACAGTTTATATCTGTACTTGGAAGCAGAGCTGTAGTATGATCTATACTTTGTGTCTGATACATAAAAGCATATCGCAAAAATGTTTTATGTAAACTGATGCAGAAGTGTTCTCTCTGGATAAAGTAAAAGCAGAGGAAATTCATGGCATGTAAAGCAGCCCCACTTTGATAATCTGCTAGACCTTTTACTTCATAAACTAATGTGGAGTTGGAAACTATATCAAGAGGGAATCCTGTTGTTCACACACACCATGTGGTAGAAACAATAGAGAAATAACATTTTAAATAATCTAAATGAAACTTATATTTTTGAGAGTATTTGATAGGCTGACAAAGAATTGAAATTCCCAAAGAAACTGAAAAGAAATGCAGACATCTCCAGGCTAACGTAGACTAGACCAGACATTAGCAGTTTTAAGTACCATGAAACCTATTTATCCCATCTGATTTTGAAGAGTTTTTCCTATATATATGTGGTCTTTTTTAATCTCATTTTGAAATTCCATTAGGAGTTTATGTATGTATATACTAATACCTACCTTTTAGAATCTCATCTATTATTTTATTTTTGTTGAGTCAATTGGTATAAATAGTAATTAGAAGTTGTCATGACTCTGTGCTGATGAAGTAAGACAGTCTTTAGTCTGATTACTACATGCAAACTGATTGGTTCTTTATTAGGAGAAAAATCGGGAATTTTGAGGGGTTTAAGCTGTTCACTAAGAGATGGCAGAATTCTAGATTTGCAGGGTCTCAAATCTAAGTGCTAACATGTGCTTCTGAGCAGTGGGTCTATGTTCAAGGAACTTGTCCAGGGCTAATTGTGCAACAGCAAAATGCAGAAGGCTTCTTTTTTAGGTTATTGTGTCTAGTCAATGGTTCTTTTAGGGCAGTTACTGCTGAACTGTGTTTGCACAGCGTCAGGGCCTTCTCTGTTTCTCACATTGCCCCGCCAGCGAGTAGGCTGAGTGAGCACAGGAATTTGTGAGAGAACGCAGCCGGGACCACTGGCCCCAAGTGACTAAAGGGATACCCCAGACCATATGATGTTGTTCTCAGCAATAAAAGCTGGGGACAGAAGGAGGAAGGAGGGATGTTTGGAGTTAAGGCACTTGTCTTCTTAAGTAACTGTTAGGCATGAAATGGCTACGTATCTGCCTGATGATGGAAAGTAGTGAATGAATTCCTTACTTTTCTTTGCTTGCATGCACAGCTTTGCTTTACCTATTAAACTGTCCTTGTTCTTAACCCCCGAGCTTTCTTACTTCTGCCCTTCTGATCCTCTTCCCATACTACAGAGGGGAGGGAGTGAGCGGCCGTGTGCAGCTGAGCTGCTGGCTGGGTTGAACGCACAGCACCTACACTATTTGCCAGTGGCAACATGAAAGAAACACCACCTTTCTTTCAGTCTAGGATCTCTCAGCCACAAGATCTGATAGATTCTTGACCTTGTGGCATTCTTTACTGTATCATTCCCTTGAGTGCAACCATGAAAAAAGAAATAACAATATCCCCAGGCAGTGTACTCTGGGCTTTATAAAGTCATCTTCAGCCTGGGTCTGTGGATCTGATTTTTACCACAGTTAGCTGTTTGATCTAACCATATATTAGATCAATCTATATCTGTTATTTACTCTGAAAATTTTGTTGCTTGAAAGAAGATTCATGTTTGCTTCACTAAAAAAACCCACCAGTTTAGGATTTCAGTTAGTATCAGCTGTGTTCCAGGTAAATGTTACCCCCTAGTTATTTGACTTCCTAAATACTCTTACAAAGTCTTAATCATTAGTTCTTCAAGAAAACGGAAGGTCTTGGTACTTCAAAGGGAAAACTGTGGTTTTCTCAGATATTCATGGAAACATCTATGTTTCCAGAGCAAACTGGCATTACAGCCCCATAGAAGAAATGTTATGTACCAGCTCATTTGACTTTTCCAGGTTTTCTTTCGGTCCCTACAGATTGTTCCTGTAGCAATCTATCCACTGAGATGCGGATACCTCTAGCTCTGTCTTCCTTACTGTGTATTTCAAAGCCTTTGCTACACAACATAAAGGAACTTCCTCAACATTAAGTATCTGTTTTCACTAGGGTCTCATCCAAACATGATTCTGAATATCCCTCTTGAATTTTCTATATGAGTATTTTCCTTGTGTTTTGCTTTACTATACAACTTGTCTTTATAATTTTTTCAAAACGAAGGCTTTAGGCTTCTTCCTCATTAAATGGAGTTTTCATCTGTAACTGGGGATTTTAGGCTCTAATCTTACAATATTATTTTTGTCTCCTGCTCCCAGATGCTAACAAGGAGTACTCAGTAATAGCTGTTTACTTGGCAAAACAGTGGACAGTTTGACAGTAATACTTAGCAGGGTCTGGAAACAATTTATCTTTTTCTAACCTTTTGTTTGACTTAGTTATTTCTTAGTCTATTTTTCATACATGTCTTCTTATTACATGTAACAAAACTAGCAGAGTCTCCTCTGTTTTTCTAGTGGATATAACTGCTTTCCCATATAACGGGACTTACATTTGGTGTTTGTGACAATGTAAATTTCGGAAAATTACAAAACCAAGCATTTTGAGGAATAAAGAAGTCCTGCCCAGTGTTTTGTTTCTTCCAATATTCTAATTTTTTGTTGAAACCAACTTAATTTCAGTACAGCTGAATATCTATGTCTGGTTGTATCACACCAGTCTAAAATAAATGCTCTTGGCAATAAAAGGTGGTACTTGTCTATTGGACAAGCCCACCCACATTTTGTCATGTTATAGCTATCATATTGTAAAGATTGCTTTGCATTCAGTATATGATTACAGTAGAAGAAGCTTTCCAAAAGTCTACACAAAAAACGTAAGTTTTAGGAATACTTAAAATAAGAAAATTAATATTTTGATCTTTTTACTTTATTGGTTTTCTTATTTCTTCTATTGTTCTGTATGATCTTGGTCATCTAACATTGAAACACTGTATAAACACCATGTTGCAAACACCTACAGTCTAATCCCAGGATTTTTCAGGCTGGATTTGGGATCCGTGCCAGTTAATGTTTGCACTGATCCACAGTTTCACAGAAAAGTTTAGTTTGGGAAATCTGTTAGGCTAGAGCTAGAGGTTATTAATTTCAAAGCCAGGAGGGAAACTCAAATTGCAGTTTTTAATGCCAGCAGAAATCCTTGTCCCCCAAGAAACAGAAGGTGTATGGATCAAATAGGTATGTTCAGTGTGATCTTTAAACTTGGGTAGTTAACCGCAATTTTAGATACTTTGTTTCTGAGACCAGGACAGCAGTTCTGGTGTTTTTTAGATAATCTAAAGGTTTTAAAATATTTCCTAGGTTCCATATTTGAGTAATCTTAACTGCATAATTACTACTTTTTTCCTTAATCTTTGGTGAAACTTATTTTCAAAACCAGTGTTGTTTAAGTCTTGATGCTGATTAATATGCAGTAGTGCAGAAGAAATGCATAACTCTAAATTACTGGTTAAAATAACTTAATTTTCTCCTTTTAGAACTGATCAGCTATATAATTACTCGCAACTATTCCCAACTGTATATACCAGCTGTATAAGGGTGTATGCTGGGTCAGTGAATTGTTTCTTGAGATGACTGATTTATCATTTCATCACTGGATACTGTTTTTCATGTTTACAGGACACAGAGAATTTGGTGAATATTAAATTGCATATCTTAGAGCTAGCTTCACCTTGAATATTTCAGCTGCCAGAAAAAAATACAAGATCCTACCTTATAATAGTTATTATGCTAATTATCATAATAATCTGATAGAGGTTAATTGAGTGCTTTTCTGCTATAGCAAGTGGAGAAAGAAATTGTGTGACATACCAACAAATATTATCTATCTGACTAGATTGTATACCTTTTTGGGCATAGAAGTTATTTTTCATTTCTGTGCCACATTTGTAGCGAGGTCTTTGATCATGTCATGTCCTAGGCTTGAGACTGAATGAAGCTTCCTAGTCAGATATGGCATATTCTGCCAGATTTGAGCTTTTGCAGAGGTTCAGGAAGTGGTACAAAAGCAGACCAGACATACCTGGTTTTGGTAAAACTGTCTAGGTACGTGTGGTAAGTTACATAACCTCATACTAGCTTCAGTTGTCCAGTTTAACTTGCCACCATATGTCTATCAGAACCCCGAAACTTTAGGATTATTTTCCCAGATCCCACACTGCAAAGACGTCCAATAGATGAGATGGGATGGGAAGGAAGTTTGCCAGCTGTCCAAAGCAGAAGTAT